GGGTTTGAACCTGGCCCAAGCTGCTAAACAACAATGACAACTACAAAAAAAAAAAAAGCTGGGCATTGTGGCAGGTCCCTACTTGGGAGGCTGAGGCAAGAGAATCACTTAAGCCCAAGAATTTGAGGTTGCTGTAAGATGTGATGCCACAGCACTCTACCCAGGGCAACAGCTTGAGACTCCACCTCAAAAAAAAAAAAAAAAAGAAAAGGAAAGGAAAAAAAAGAAAGAAAGAAAATAAAATTTATATTCAAAGGGTAATATCTCTTTAAGAACTCAAATCAGAAGTCAATACCCAAGAAGCTTTTGTTACAGAAGCTGGCAGAAAGAGCTCTAAGAAGAAGACTTATTAAGTAGTTTCAAAAAATAATGGTTAACTTACTTTCTGGGCTGCTTTGGTAGTTGCCAATTTCTGCAGATATAAGAGGACACTATTCTGCACAATGTAATTTTGGTGGCTTCCTAAATGACTTTCTATCCAAAAGGCTTAGGATTTTTGGCTTAGATCATAGTAAGTTCCTGGATGTATGCTAAAGGTTCACAATAAATTGTTTTCCACATTAAAAGTGAAATATTACTTATTTGAGAAACACTAGGTTAGGTGAAATTGGAAATGGCTGAGGTAAAACAACATGAAAATAACATTCTCAGCCATTGTTATTAGCATAACACTTAACTGTTTAAAAATTACTTTCACCTGCATTGCTTCTTAAAATTCTCAAAATCACTCACTGATGTCCTATAATATATCACAAAATATTGATGCTTTAAAAATATATAGATCCCATTCTTCTTCACAGGCTCATGTGACTTCTCCCTCCTACTTCTCTGTAAATTCATTGAATCATTACTTGAATTTAAGTCTTCAGTAGATAACACAAACAGCTCTGGATGTATAAGCTAAGGTAACCAGACCTCCCGCTTTTGGCGGGACAATCCTGATTTTTAACAATTTTTCTCGTGTCCCGCGGTGTTTTAAAAAAGTCCTGATTTTTGGAAAGAATGCACAACAAACTAGGGAATGGTGGGACAACAGGAAGGGAATGTACGGCTGCTGAAAAGGTTAATGTAACTCCATTTGGGAATGAAGAGGTTAATGTAACTTCATTTGGAAATGAAAAGGCTAATGTAAACTCCCTACTCCCCTCCTGGGCAAGGTTGCCCAGGTGGACCGGCACCCTACTCCTTTGAGCCACAGGCACTGCCCTATACATAATTTTTTTTTAATGTATTATATTCATAAATTGTACTTATGTTGAAATTAAATATATATATATGTATATTACAATACTATTTTTGCATTCTATGAAAATTTTTGTTGCTCAATATAGACCAAATTTTTAATTAAGAACCCCCCCCCCATGGTGTCCTGCTTTACCAATGTTAAAAATTTGGTCACCTTAGTATAAGCACATGGTAGCCAGCTTACTCTTCCTCAGAACTACCTCTCAAGTCATCCACATCCAGATGCCCAGAATTCTTTCCTTTTCCTCTCCCCTGTTACCCAAAGAATTAGTGAGTATAAGTAAACAGGTGCTCAGAATGTGCTTTGAGACCACACTCCCATCCAGTCTATCAGCACAGGAACTCTATTCTTCAAGGATTGCTTGACATGAGCTGAGATTTCAAAGTAAGTCCTGGATGTAAACAGAACATCCTGACATTCTAATAATGAGGTGGCCCAGTGAGAAACTCAAGCAACGTGGCTTAGCTAGGAGCAGCCCTTGATGGTGTTGACAGCAAACACATTCAAGTATCTTACTGTATCCATAAATTGCATTTTTGACTAGTCACTATGAAGAGGCAGCAGAGACACCATTTTGTAAATAAATTTTACCCCAGGAAAGAAGACAAAGGACTGAGGAAGGGAAGGAGGAGGAGTGGCTCCAGGAAACTCCACAACAGGCTAACTGAGAACTAGGTAAACAGCCCAGGTAGCAACAACCAATGGAAATTAACATCTTTCCATTGGCAACAACCAATGGAAATTTCTCTACTCACCCCAACAGAGGCCCGGACCAGTCAACATACCAGGATCCCCAGGCCTCTCCAATAACCAATGAGTAACCCTACACAAGCTCCTTCCCCAACTACTTTCCCCAGCATTTTATTACAACCCATAATGCCCCACGAGAAAATGTATATTATAAAATACTCCCTGACCCTTGTTTCAGGGCCACTCCCTCACAACCACACTCTTAGCAGGAGTGACCTGACCATACACCTGAAAAGAATAAAAACACTCCTTGGTTTTTCCATGTGTGCATGGTGGTCTCTCAGCAGCACCACTTTAGGTCCCAACAACTACCCAAGAAGCTTTTGTTACAGAAACTGGCAGAAAGAGCTCTAGGAAGTAGACTTATTAAGCAGTTTCAAAAAATGATGTCCTGTAATATACCACAAAATATTGATGCCTTAAAAGTATATAGATCAATATATATTTGATCTGAACCAGTGTTACTGAACCAGTATAGGTCACATGTACCATTGGGGGCCCTTGGAATGAAACATCCAGTGGAAATTCAAGCTGTGAATTCAAAAGGTCACACATCAGACACTCTCATAACTTGAAGGGTCAATGATTACAACCAGTTTGGGTGGAGGTTTGCACTGAGCACTGAATTCCTGAAAAACAACTTAGCCAGTATCTTCTTATCTTTACATCAAAATGAGATGTTTTCTGTAGAAACATTTAGAAAACTATAGTTAGGAGAAACATTTAGAAAACTATAGTTAGGCTACATGGCATTTTAAGAGTAATCAGCACTGTGTAAGCAAACAGCTAAAGGTTACAATTAATAACCATCTGAAGAAATTTCAGATGCCAGTTACCTGATCAGTAATGGCTGGCCACCAGTTTCACTACATACTCTTTTGCCTCTCAGCAAAGGTCCACAGTTCACAACTTTAAAGGTGGTTTTCCTCCCAGAAGTTCTTACAGAACATAGCCTACCCATCCAGAGAGTTCCCCAGAAGTTTTTCAGAAAATGAGTTTAAGAGCCAGATCTCTGCTTGTCTCCTGGTAGCTCCAGATAAGCCCTTTCTGGGGTTAACACAAGCTAGGGCTTTGAAATTTCTTTGTGGCCAGGAGTCAGTCTTTGATGTTTGTGACTTTTGCTTGAGGCTACTGTCTTGAGTGAATTCAAGTGTTCTAGATGAGAAGATACAGGAACAGGTTCATACCAACCAAGTGGAGCACTGTGCCTCCCACTGTGATTCCTTTCTCCACTGCCCAAGAAAAGGAAGGGGAGGCAGATTCTGCTTTTCAGATCTACACACTGATTTCCCCTACAACAAGCCGACTCACATGCTGAATTAAACAGGGTAAGAGGGGTTCATGCCGAGGATACCTGCAGGAAAGGCTTAGGAACACTAGAACAGGTGGATTAACCCTTTAAATATAAAGAATGGAAAATTAACCCTAAGGATATGGGCTTTTCTTTCTTTCTTTCTTTCTTTTTTTTTTTGCAATTTTTGGCCAGGGCTGGGTTTTAACCCACCTCCTCTGGCATTTGGAGCTGGCCCCTACTCCTTTGAGCCACAGGTGCCGCCTGGATATGGCCTTTTCTTTGCCTCTCCCTCCCTTCGTCCCTGAGTCTTCCCAGGTATAATACATTAAAGCAGCCTGAAGCCTGATCTTTCCCTCCTGCTTAGGCCTTTATGACCAAGACAGGGCTCCCTAAATGAGAAGGTGCCTCCTCCTTGTTCTGTGTTTATTGTAGACCTTTGGTATCTTTAGAAGTGTTCTCACATGCACATATCTCATTAGACTCTCACAGGTCCGAGAGGGAGCTATTATCAGGCCTATTCCAGGACACTGATGCTCAGAGTTGTGACTAGAGGTTCCATAGTGCCAGGTATAATCCTCATAGTGAATGAGGACAGAGGGCTGCTTTAAAGGGGAGACCTTTTTTTTGAGATAGAGTCTCACTCACTGTGTTTCCCAGGCTAGAGTGCCATGGCTTCAGCCTACCTCACAGAAACCTCAAACTCCAGGACTGATGTGATCCTCCTGCCTCAGCCTTCTGAGTAGCTGAGACTATATGTGCCTGTCACCACACCAAACTAATTTTTTCAAGTTTTAGTAGAGATGGGGTCTCTCTGTTGTTCAGGCTGGTTTCCAACTCTTGAGATCAAGGGATCTCCCCGCTTCAGCCTCCTAGAGTGCTCAGATTACAGGGGAAGCCACTGTGCCCAGCCTTTAAAGGGGAGACATTTTAAAACAACTTGACAGCCTATGCTGAGACCAGAATAGCCCCTGTGAGGTTAGTGTTAGTCTTGGTACTTGATTGATTAGAGAAAGCTTTCATAACTGCGGCTCCTTTATGATGGCATTCTCAGTAAGCAGCTTTGACAATTCAGGGTTATTAGTAATAATAATTAGGGAAATGTCCCCTGGGAAGTTAGTAGTGATAATATGTTTCATTCAGGCTTGTGGGGAAGTATTGTGGAAGAAAGTCAAGGTTGAAGAAGCGGGACTCTGCAGATCAGTGTGATTGCAGCCTGGGCTGTGATTTCAGGGAACAAATGCCTTCCTACCAAGGAAATATTTCCCAGGTAGTTACTCATTGCCTTAAAAGGTGACAACCCTTTCCATTTCACAGACATAAAGCTTTAAATACCATTCTCTTCTGGACACATGATTTCCTGGAAGCTGGTTTAATAAAAAAGGAGCAAGATGGAAGTAGATTGGCTCCTCAGGTTGGGTAGAAAAGAGGGAAGACAGGAGCTGTTTGGAATTCTCAAAATAAATTGTATGTAATTTTTCCAAATTTTGTGTTTGACTTGCTCAGGCTGAAACATATTTTTAAGTTCTTAGGAACTTTATTGTCTAATCAGAGTTATCATCTTCTAGGCTGGGACCCATGTAATAAAATTGTGCCCAAGTGCCTGCATTGGCAGAGAAAGCAATTTTAAGGTAGAGCTCAGCTCTGTGAGAAGAGTCTGGATAATGCATTTCTCTCTTCCCTGTGGACATGCAGGTGGTCCTGGTGACTGAGATGGCATCCTCTCTAAAGATCTGGGTCATTGTCTTGACCCTGATTTGCATCCTATGCAGGCTGTTTATGCACAGAGAAGATGTTTCCTGGCGAGAATTCATGAAACAGCACCACTTAAGTCCAAGCCGAAAATTTGATGAGTACAAATGCAATGTCCTCATGAGGGAACAAGAAGCTCTGAAAGGCAAGAGCTCTCACGTGTTCATCTATGTCTCAGAGTACAAAATCGGAAGTATATGCATTAATGGCAACTGGAGGGAGCGCTACAGAAATACGTACGTTTGGCTCCAGAATGCCCTCAAAGTACTCAGGTGCCACCAGGAGAATGACAACAGTGGCTACATAGAGAGCAGGAGCTTCAACTATGTTGAATTCCACTGTGGCACGGATGGTCATGTTGACAGCATAGAGGACCTGAAGATGGTGGAGCTTATCAGTGACTAGAAGGTCTATCCACAGCCACAGGCCATGGTAGTATACTCAGCACTTCCCCAGACCACATCAGTAGCCCCTGCCACTCTACATTTATGTGTCAGTATTTTCCAGCTATTTAGAATTATGTATCACATGGTTTCTTGACACCACAACTTTGCCTAGGTGGTTTTTCTGTCTGGAGTATACTTCTATTGCCACCCAGCCAGCGTCATCTGCCTGCTGCCCAAGAGTAAGCCAGTATCCAGAGACAATAGGGTTCAGATAAAGACTTTATTCCACAAAGTGCTAAGCAGAAATATAGGAGTAATTTCTCCAATCCACCTTTCTGAGAATCAAGGGGACAGGATTTTCAAAGACAATTTGGTAGGCAAAAGATTAGACAACCAGGGACTGTTAACTGGTTGGTTTCAAGGTGGAACCATCAGTCTTTGGTATAGGCTGCCATCTGGGTGGGCCAGGGACTGGAATGGGGACCTCGGGTGGACTTTCTAAGACCAGTTGAGTGAGTTCCTTAGTCTGGGTGGACCTGGAACATATCTCAGAAACAACCTTTAGTTTCCAAACAGGTAATGTTCTTATAAGGACAACTTTGCATGACTCTGGGTACTGAAGCAAACAGAGGGAACAGTTATTATTATCAAGAAAATGAGGGGATATGGGCTAATTATTATCATTATTTTAGTTAAGCCTGCTCCTTCTCAGAGTCCTGGGGCCCTTACTCTAGTTCTTGCCTTGCACCCTTTCATCAACTTGTAAGGGTATTTTCACTTCTGTCCACATTTACCTAATTTACGCCTACGTTTTTTCAGGATTCAGCTCATATGGCATCTCTTCTTGGCTACCCCAAGAAGATATTGACTCTTCTTTTATCTACCAAGCTGAATGATCTTCCTTTCCCTAAATAAATTATATTATTCCAATGTGTATGATATTTATATGTGTTTATGTGCAGAGTATGTATTGTGTGATTGGTATATGTAATTTTGATTATACTTGGATGTGATTCATGCTAAGCACAGGCTTTAAGGTATATTTTGTGTGTGTGCCTAATATATACAGTATATTTATGTGTATGATGAGGGATGTAAATGTTTATGTGCTAAGCTGGAGACAAGTTGTGATTGTGGTGTAACCTGAAATAATCAAAAGGATCAGAATCCATCTGCCTACCTCACGAGCAATCCACCTGTCGCGGCCTCTCACTGTACTAGGATTGCAGGTGTGAACCACTGCACCTGTCAGAATCCAGTTTTAAAGAGTTCATTCAAGTGAAAACTGAGAATGGCCATTCCTCAACACACACACACTTCAGAGAAATGGGATCAGTGTCCCAAAGTTAAAAGTTAAGTTTTTGCTTATATATGAAAGAAACAAATACATTTAACAAGATTATAACATTTTTCTATGCAAGGCTAGTTTACAAGTGACAACAAATTAGATACAGTTTGGTCCCCCTCCCCCACCCTTTATGGTTTGTTTTCTTTTCTTTTTTCTTTTTTTTAGACGGAGCCCCAAGCTATCCCCCTGGGTAGAGTGCCATGGCATCACAGCTCACAGCAACCTCCAACTCCTGGGCTCAAGCGAGTCTCCTGCCTCAGCCTCCCAAGTAGCTGGGATTACAGGCGCCCGCCACAACGCCCGGCCATTTTTTGGTTGCAGCCATCATTGTTGTTTGGTGGGCCGGGCTGGGGATTCGAATCCGCCACCTTAGGTGTATGTGGCTGGCGCCTTAGCTGCTTAAGCCACACGCACCGAGCCTATGGTTTGTTTTCTTTATAGCTTGTTTTCATTTCCTTTACAATTTATTATAACAGAGTATTTAACATTCCACCTTAAGACAACAAAGTCTTTGTGTGAGAAAGACAAGAGGTAGGTTTATCTTTAATTAAAATCAACAGTGGAGAGGAACTTGGTCTTCCCTGGCACCCTTCAACAATTTACAACATTTTACAAAACAGTTCCGATAAGAAAGAAGGCTTAATCTATAATAGGAGAGACAAAGTTTACAGCTGCCTACATTACTATCACATGACCCAAGCCTCCAAATCTCATTCCTTTTAGGCTCAAAATAAGCATACAAACAGCTTAGATTTTTTTTTTTTTTTTTTTTGAGACAGAGCCTCAAGCTGTCCCCCTGGGTAGAGTGCTATGACATCACAGCTCACAGCAACCTCCAACTCTTGGGCTCAAGTAAGTCTCCTGCCTCTGCCTCCCAAGTAGCTGGGACCACAGGCGCCCGCCACAATACCTGGCTATTTTTTGGTTGCAGCCATCATGGTTGTTTTGGCAGCCCAGGCTGGATTCCAACCCGCCACCTTAGGTGTATGTGGCTGGCGCCTTAGCCACTTGAGCCACAGGCACCGAGCCAACAGTTTAGATTTTGAATACTTATTTTTACAGTGGTGACATGTTTAGTTCTAGCCATATTTGGGGGCATGGACAGAGCCAACTATGTCAAAAACATATAACAAGGTTCCTGACTCATAGTTCATAGTATGTAAACAGTAGTTCTTATCCTTTCTCTTTCTTTGCTTGGTACTGTGAGAGCCAAACTAGCTCCATTTTGTTGTTTACGGCACAAGCTCCATTCTTGGCTGTTTACAGCACAAGCCCCATTCCTGGCTGTTTACCACATAAGTTCCATTCCTGCCAGTGAAACCTGCAGGGCCATTCCCTGCTGCCTCTCCCCCACCCCAGGTTGCATAGCTACTAAGCCGTAAACTGAGTCACCTTAGGCAAACAGCTGCTCTAATAAACAATAAGTTTCTATTACCTTGAAATACAGGTAATCAGGTTGCACCAACTCTAGCCCCTGGTTAAGGGACCCCCCCACCCCTCACCTGTACCAATCCAAATTCACCTTTACTAGTGAAATCATCAGCTACCAATGCAAATCCTCCTTTACTTCCTCCTTTACTAATGAAATCACCAACCACCAATCAAGAGTGTACTTGTAACGGACCCTACCCTTCTTGCTTTCTGTACCCCATAAAAACTTGCTCTACATTCGGGGCTCATCCTCAGCTTGCATGTCAGGAGAGTCTGGGCTTCCCAGGGCCTGAATAAAACTCATCTCGTGCTTTTTACATTGGAGTGTGTCTCGGATTTGTCTGCCGGAGTCTTTTGGGAGAATTTTGGGCATAACAGTACTCTAATATTGACTTTGAGAAAACAAGCATGGTAACTGACCATCAACCCTCTGCTCTTCCTATCTCTACACATGGGAACTTCTAATATAAATATGCAGTAATCTGTCATCTATGTGGAAGCTATAAATTGCCAGGACCAGAAAAACTCCCTCTGCCATCAACCACAAACCTCTAGATATTCCTACAGGACTTAATTCTTCTAAGAAGACCAATGCATTTTAGATGGGTTAAGTCCTTATACTTCCTAAGGACTACACAGCAAGTAGAATACATTAGCACAAGTGATTTTATCTGATAATCATTCTTTTTACTTGGCAGAGAAATAGAAATAAATTTGGAGGTCTTTAAAATGCAATATTCCTCAAGAATAGGGCTTAAGATTTAAATTCTGTTAAAGGGAAGAGGAAGTAAATGAGAGAAATACTGGGTTCACAGAGGGCAGAGTCCACAGGAATTCTGTTTGCTAAGTGTGGGGAAGAGGTACAGAGCAAGAGAAATATTTGTTTCCTGTAATTTTGCCTAGGGCAGGTATGGGGAGGGAAAATACTAAACATTAAAGTACTTTGTGTTCTTTAGCCTCTTGCAATGTTGAATGACTCTGGCTTTGAGAGAAAAAAACAAAAATATCAACATTTCGTAACAGGTGACTACACTTCTTCCTAGACCTCTGGTCTCATTGAGTAGCCAGTATATCTGGATATTTCATCATGTCCCAAGGGCAGTTGCTCAGCTTTGCAATTTTTGAGTGTATCTGGGGATGAGTGGACACCTATACCAACTAAATTTATGAGAGATTAGTATTAAACCAGTAGTTTATTGTGGGAATCAGGTTTGTAGTGTAGTTTAGGCCAGGCATTTCTGGAAGGACTTGTTGACTAGAGTCCAAGTTCCTCAGACTCCTCAAGGCTGGCAATAACCTGGTGGTCTACACAGGATATCTGGCACCTGACAATTTCAAAGCTAGGATTCTGGTCTTATTGACGATAGTCCAAAATCCCATGCCCCCATTTTTTCTGGGCCACAGACAGCCCTATTGTTACCTGGTGGCTGAGAACAGAATGCCTAGCAACCAAGATTACTATTTCCTGAGTCCTGCCCAGGCATAGATAGAAATCATTGACTTGAGCAAAGTTTATCCCCATTTTTTTTTTTTTTTTGGCTGGGGCTGGGTTTGAACCCACCACCTCCAGCATATGGGGCCGGCACCCTACCATTTTGAGCCACAGGCATCGCCCTATCCCCAATTTGTAAAGTTTAAATTGACATTATGTGGTGTGCCTGCATAATTTTCCCTTATTTTGTTTCTCTTTTTGTGATTATTAATGATTACTTGAGGTACCTTGCTTTGAATAACTTGAATTAAGTTTATGAATTATACTGTCAACTTGATTTATGATTTTTTTTTAATATATAAGAGGAAGGGCTTTATTCACCAGCCATGAGCTTATGGCATAGAAGAATTCCAAATGGCCACGCTCCCGGACTGGCTTGGTCTTTCCTTTTTTATCGACAGTCAAAAAGTTCCACCCCACAGATACCCTTCTCATTGGCCAATTTGAATCAAGTGGGAGATGCTATTCCAGCCCCTACAGAACTACAGGATTTCATAGAACTTGGAAACTTCCATGTTCCAGAAAGTTAAGTTTACAAATTCCCAAGAGCTGAGTCACCATGGAGAGGACCCTAGTGTATCATTGTGGTCTCCTTGAGAAGACCTGTTCTCCGAGACCTCTCCCTTCTCAGGTATCCTCTCTCATTCCCTCCTTTTGAGACTTCAATATATTTTAATTTGGCATCTCAATATCAGCTTGTTTCTGCAGGTGCCAATATTAATTACTTTTTAGGATGAAGGTTTTAGGG